TTAGGGTAATATTTAGAGGAGGTCCAGTATTGAGTTTAGTTTTAGGAGTAGTGTTAGAGAAAGGGTGTGCTTTTAAATGGCCTGTATCTTACTCCTAGAGAATATAATTGCATTATGAGCAATATTGAATGTTAGGGTGCTGCTTAGGTTGAAGTCTAGGACTAGGGATAAAGATAGGTTTAAGTCTAGATCTCCGTTTAGGACTTGTGTTAGTATATGATTAAGAGGTTAAAGTTAGGGCTAGTCCTGATCTTAGATTTGGGTTACGCCTAGTAATAGGGTTAAGGTTGGAGCTGCTGTTAGCTTTAGGTTTAGACTACCGTTAGAGTTAGGTGTAACATTAGGTCTTAGACAAGAAATAGTGGAAGTATTATGTATTCACATATGAAAATGGAACAATGAGACCTATTAAAACTGTTGTAAGAATTGGGAGGAGGGAGGATAAAGGACAACGATGGAGGGGGTGAATCTATTTAAGATTTACTTCATTGTTTGAGAAAATCCTACATTGTTTTGCATGACAGGGCAATGAACCATCAAACCTGAGATGTTCTTCAAGCTGGAGCAAGGAACAGAGCCTTGGATAGGAGAACCCCCAAACCAGAGCCCACCAGGTCAGTCACTGAATACTGGGTAGTGAGACCACAAGAGCAGTGCCCAACGCCCAACAGATGTTGGCTGTATTGCACTGATTTCACCAGGTTACCTTTCAGATTGCAGATCTGAGGACAGTGGGCTTGCACAAATCAAACATGTGCATTACAGTCTCCAAAGATGGCTCTCACATATATACTGTTACCTGTATCCTAAATCTAAGCCCTATTCTTCTTAGATATATTTCTTTGCTATTTACTTTCTCAGCGTTCTCAGTTGCCTCACCCCCCATTCTCACAGATTTTTTAAAAAATAAAAGCCATATTGATTTGTCTTTTTAGCTAATTAAATTTTTGTGGGACTGGTGTTTGATTTCAGGGTTTTGAGCTTGCAAAGCAGAGAGACCCTTGCAAAGAAGGTGCCTGGTTTAAAAATCCCTTTTGAGACAGACTCTTGCTATATAGCCTGTGCTGGCCTTGTATTCTCAATCTTCTTGCTTCTTCCTCCTCAGGGATGGGATTACAGGTGCCTGCCACTACATTTGGCTTCTCCTGGACTTGTATTGTCTGACATTTATTCATACATGATTTCCTCCTCAGCACATTCCACTGAAGCAGTTTTTAAGCACTAGCAATTTTATGGTTCTCTTGATGACAGAGACTGTAAAATAATGTCTCTTTTGTAGAAGTTACAGTCTGATGAGAGAAAAACAAGAAGGTAATGTATTTTTAAGAACCTTAAGAACCTGGGGAATATTTAACCAAAGTGAGAAAAAGAAACATGAGATGTGATCATTTAGGAAGGATGATCAGAGAAGACAGTCTTAGGTGGAGTTTGTCTGAATTCACTGTAGTGGGGATTGAACCCAGGGCCTTGAGTGTGCTAATCAAGTACTGTACTACTGGGCTCCATTTGTCATAGGATTATTAAGGGTTTTTTTGGTGTCCCTTGAGTTTTAGTTCCTGTTTTCAAAATGTTACACATAATTATGAATACAAAGATCTGTATTTGAGAGTCTACATCACTCTTGGAAGCATAGATTTAGAAATTGGTAGCTTGAAGCTTGTATTTAAACTTACAGAGCAGTTCACCTAGGGAGTTGAGAAGAAAATGAGAAAAGCCCAGAATTAGCCTTGGGAACCATAGTGTCAGATACCATGAAAAAGGAGGATCCAGCGTATGGGTCTGCATCAGAGGAAAAGCCAGGACATTATTTGTCTGAAGCCCAAGTGAACAAAGTGTTTTATGTTCAAGAGTTCAGATTTCTGTTGGGCAGTGGAGTTTGAAGTTAGCATTCCCTATCTTCTCTTAGTGAATTTTATTACAAACAAAAAAGAATAGGAGAAATATTCTGAAGGCTCCATTTTCTAGGAAAGTAGGAAAAAGCTGGCAGTCCAGTGTACAAGATAACATCATTTGGGAGAAGTTGATTATCAATCATGGGTGTCTGTACCTGGAATTGGGTTGAGAAGGCTGGGGCTGTTGATCTCAGACGATCTACAAAAGCAATTTATAGAGATGGTGGGCATCAATGGTTGGTGTCCAGGGTGGTGCAATGAAGAAAAACTGATGTTTCTGAGAAACAGAGTAAGTGAAGTTAAATTAGGCTTCACAGAGGGCTGCTTTCATCCAGAGTGGGAAAGAAGAGGTTTTATATTTTAAAAACTCCTTTAGATGCCTGAAGTTATTTCCCAGGTAAGAATAAAAACTAAAGAAACATGGATGCAAATCACAGTCCCAAAGCCATGTTCCTGTATAGTTGGCAGTCACTTGGACCTCACTTGTATTCTGCAAGTACCTGGTCCTGAAATTCTTGCACTGTTCAAAGTAGGATAATGAGAAGAACAGCAGCAGGAGACCCCAGCATTGTCAAACCAATAAAGAATGTCAAAACGTGCATGTTGTTTCTAGTCATTTTCATTCCTGTGTTGTTTACTGTTACCTTTTCTTGTTTATTGGTCTGCTTTGTCTTAAGGGTTTATTCTTTCTTGACTCTTCCTGTCTTACTATTGTTTCTTCTGTGTGTAAAAGACCTTGAACTATCTTGTGCAGTGCTGGCTTGGTAGTCATAAATTCCTTTAGCTTTTCCTTGTTATGGAAGGTGTTCATTTCTCTTTCAATTAGGAATGATAGTTTTGTTGAATGGACTAATTTAGGTTGACAGTTGCTTCTTTTCAGGGCCTGAATTATGTCTTTCCATGAACTCCTTGTATTTAGAGTTTGAGTTGAGAAATTTGCTGTTATTCTAATGGGTTTGCCTTTATTTGTGACTTGTCTTTTCTCTTTTGCTGCTTTCAGTATGCTTTCTTTGTTCTGTGTGCTGAGTGTTTTGATTATGATATCTCTGGGGGTGTTTCTTTTTTCGTTTTGACAATTTGATGTTCTGTAAGCTTCGTGCACCAGGATGACTCTCTCTTTCTTGAGATTAGGGAAGTTTTCAACTATTATTCTATTGTATATGTTGTCTATGCCTTTAGTTTGTTTATCTTCTCCCTCTTCTACACCCATGATTAGTGGATTTGGTGTTTTCATGGTGTCCCAGATGTCTTGGATTTTCCATACATATTAGCATTTTTTTGTGATCTTTTACTGTTTTATCTAATTCCTTTACTTTGTCTTCTGTTACTGACACTCTATTTTCATCTTGCCACCACTCTGTTCACCATGCTTTTTTTTTTTTTTTTTTTTTTTTTAGAAACCATATTGTCTTTAATTATTTTAGGCATCAGCATATAGATACCATATGGAGTTTCTTTTTTTTTTTCATTTTTCTTTTATTATTCATATGTGCATACAAGGCTTGGTTTATTTCTCCCCCCTGCCCCCACCCCCTGTTCACCATGCTTTCAATTGAGATTTTTATTTGGGATTTTGAGCTGTTTATTTCCAATTGATTATTTTCCAGGTTTTCCATATCTTTATTAACTCTCTTTTCATATCCTGCATAGTCTTATTTTCATTAATCTGGTGTTTTTTGTATTCTCTTTGAGCTCATTTAATAGTTTATTCATGTCCTCTTTGAGTCAGACACTAGCTTTTGTGTCCCTTTTTTGAGCTTGTTAATCATCATTACTATTTTTTGGAATTCAATATTTGATATTTTTCCTCTATGCAGTTTTTTAGATCCTTAGTGTTGGAGTTGGCTTTGCAGAGAAAGTGGTTGTCTTGCTGTTTCATTTTGAATTGAGATTTACTTACCTCTCAATATTAACACTGAATGCAAATTGCCTCACTGCCCCTAGGTGGTGGTTTGAGCTAAGGTGTGAACAATCTGCACATATTTGCTATGGAAAGGAAGGCTAAGAGAAAGGGAGAAAAATGCTCATCCTGAAATACAATATTAAGTCAAAGAGTCCTGGTCTCTCCCTATCTTAGCCTGCCTCTGTACCATTAAGTGAACAATGCAGCCAAATATTGGCAACTTCACCAGATTCAATCTAACACATCCAATGGCAGCTATCACTTATAAAATACTGTATTGCTCCTAACCACTCAAAGGAGAAGTGACTACCATTACAGCCCATTTTACAGATTCCAGAACCGAGGCTCATCTGTACAAAGACTCTAAGACAAGAGTCTGACTCCAGAGCCCTCCTGTTGTCTTCTGCAGTGAGTCCTAAAATAAGATATCCAGTGTTGCTAGTGTTCCCTCTGACATTCATAATTACTGGATACTGATGACATTGGCACCGCCCTGGCTCTAGCATTACATGCCTGAGATATCTTCATGAATTTCTTTGCTAAATGAAAATTTTCTTTCCCAGAGGCCAGGCTTTGCTCCAGCACCTTGCCTTTCTCCCCCTTATTTTAAAAGATTGTTTGGAGGCAGCAATTTAATCTCTGGGATTGGAGGCCCATCTGGGCAGGCAGTGCATTTTCCCTCTCTCTTCAAGATGCCATTGCCTTTTTTGGCAGGAGCTCTTTTAGGTCAAAACCTCATGTTGTCCATCATGGAATTTCCCCAATTGAAATACGATGCCAGTAACCCCGGGAATCTTCTGGACAGCAAAGGAATGAGCTTCAGCAGAAGAGAGTTCTTCAACCGGATCTCTAGAATTTTTTTGCCAGGGCAGTCCAATCATGTTCCTTATCTTGCTGTCTGGAGTAGGTAGGAATACAGCATTGAGCCACCGCTGTGGCGCAACGTATTTAAGCTTAAAGTTTTAAACTTTTATCCCACAATGTGCTGGAATGTGACTGCAGTATTTAATACTGAAGCAGGATTCCTCCTGGTATTACTTGGGTATGAACCAGTTTGAAAGCATTTCATCCTGGTCTATTTGCAATAAAGATCACCTAGGAGGTGTAGTGTCCCTTGCCCTTGTGGAACCTTCACAGAGGCTTGTGGGAAATGTAGTCTCATCCAGATCAGTCGCCAGAATCCACCCGGAAGTTTTCCCCGGAAGTTGCCAGACCGGCGGTTCTGAGGATGCTGTGGCAGGGTCTTTGAGTTCTTCCACGAAATCCTCTTGTGGGGTGATGAACCTTGGAGGGTGACAGAGAAAGCGGCTTTGAGGACTTTAGGATGCAGGACCAGCGACCCTAACGAGGTGTTGGCGGAACCGCAGGTTGTCCTTCCTCGGGTCAGTGACACAGGTGGTGGGTGGAGCCAAGCCGGGCTAGTGGGGAAAGTCGCAGCAGCCATGTGTGTCGCTGCTTGGCTGTGGGTCTGCAGTGTGACTGCGGCTGGGAAGGCTCAACTTGGAGCAGAGCCTTTCCTTACTTGGTCCTGTCACGTCTAGTGGCACAGCGCGGATCGTTGTCTTGCGGGTGCGTGGAGGCGCCTTCTTGGAACTGTCACAGGATGGTGTCCCCAAGTTCCAGGTACATTTGTTATGCAAGCACAATGGCAAAAATACTGAGTTTCAGCATGCATGTCTCCATGAAAAGAGGAGGAATTACAGTGGGAATGCGCGTTTGGAGTCCCGTGGGGGAGTAAGTAGTTCCTCCTGTAGCCCAAGTGACTTTCTCTTTTTTTGGTAGTACTGGGGTTTGGATGCAGAGCCTCAAAAGCACTGCATCCTGGAGCTTTACTCCCAACCCTTTCTGCTTGTAGTTACTTTTTTCAAATTGGGTCTTTTTACCACACTTTTTTGTTTAGAGATAATTGGACTTGAAATCAGGGCCTTGAAGCCATGCCCCATCTCTCAAATAGTGCTTGCTTTTGCCTGGAAAGGCCTCAGACTGTGATCTTCCTCCCACCTCACCTTCCCTCGCAGCTGGGATTGAAGATATGTGCCACCATATCCGGTCCCCAGGTGCATTTTTTTCTGAATAAGTACCCTTTTTAAATTTTTTTATTTAGTTATTATGCTGTGTGCCCCAGGTGCGTATTTATCAAAGACTTAATGTTTAAAGTATTCTCTCTTTCTCTGTCTCTCTCTCTCTCTCTCTCTCTCTGTAGTAGTGGGGTTTCAACTCAGGACCTCATGCTTGCTAAGTAGGCACTTCTACCACTTTAGCCATCCTGCCAGCCCATGCTCTGGTTATTTTGGAGATGGAGGGGAGTCTCATGAAATATTTGCTGGTACTGGCCTCAAACTGTGATCATTATTTATTGCTGATTGAGTTGATTATGTGTTAATTAACCTAATTGTTTTAGACGGGTTTGGGGTTTGAACTCAGGGTTGCTACTTGAGCTGCTATCCTAGCCCCCTTTTTTGTGATGGGAGTTTTCAAGATAGGGTCTCTGGAACTATTTACCCAAGGCTGAATGCAAACCACAATCCTCCTGTTAATGGAAAAATGGTCCTGAAAATTACCTCAGTTCTTCCATATCGCAGGAGAAGAATTGAAGCAAGATGCAAAGATTCAGTGAAAGTAACAGTAAAGTTTATTACAAAACATTACACTTTCAAGAGACTGAAAGCTGGTTTTCTCTAGAATGACAGCAAGGGGTCGGGGCAGGAGAGACATTTCCTGTTCCTCATGCCACACATGGGAACAAAAACTCAAGATGGCGGTCCCCATTTCAAAATTGTTATACTGGAGAGCTGAAGGAATATCCTTGATCAAAGATAATGGGTCTGGGTAGGTGAGATGACTGTTAAAACAGGGAGGGTTTACACTACCTAATCACACACACATCCACCCAAATCATCTAGACAATAGGTGTGCTTTAGAACTTTCCTTTGAATACTGCCCATCCTTCCAAGAATCCTTGTAACCCCTTAACATCTCAAAGAGGAAGATAGAAACAGCTATCTCCTTAGCATCTAAAAGGACATGAGAGAGGGCTAGCTGTTCTGGCTCTCCTGGTTCCAATATCAGAGCCTGTCCCTTTAAATTTATTAAAATAATATAATTTCCCTGTCTACTCTTGTGACCACCACCTATATCTAACTGCTACCTATCACTCCTGGTCTCTATCTCCTGAGTAGTTAGGATTACAGATGTGAGCCACCAACACCCAGCCCATTAACAAGTCCAGTTAATGGACTTGTAGGTGTATATATATATATATATATATTTTTTTTTTTTTGCTGGCACTAGGGTTTGAACTCAGGACCTTAAGCTTACTAGGCATGTTCTCTACTACATTGGGGTCTTTGTTGCCTTTTCTTGTGTAAGGGACTACTATTCCACTCAGAGGTATTTTTCTTTTTTTTGGTCTATATTTCCAGTTAACTTACAGAGTTCTGCACAGGAGAATCAGAACCAAATAATACCTGTTGACTGATGAGTCTGTTCTTCTCAGCTACACCTCCAGAATGTGCTTCTGAGAAAAATTAAAAATGGCTCTATTTCTGGTGAGTTGTTTGTTTATTCTTCACTTTGTTTCATATAGTATATTATGAGCTTTGTGAAGTCTGTAAATACAAATGGAATTGTAGAAATGAATAAAACGGCTTCAGGTTAATGCACATAAATAAGATAGAGTTGACATGTAGACACAGGCAGGGTTTCTTCTTTCTTTATTTTTTTTGCAGTATTAGGGTTTGAACTCAGGGATTCAGGGACACACACTCTACCACATGGTAGGCAGACACTCTACCACTTAAGCCACCTCATCAGCCACAGGCAGGTTTTAAGATGCTAAAAACGTCTGTGTTGAACAAATTTGTCTCTGGACTTTCATTATTGAGATTTGAACACCTTGTGCTTATTAGACATGCACTGTACCACTTAAGCCATGCCTCCTTTTTCCTTTAGTTATGTTTCAGGCAGGAACTTGAATTTGTGCCTGGAGCGCCAGAATCCTATCTCCATCTCCTTTGTTTCTGGAATTGTAGTTGTGCTCCAACACTCCCATCTTGGTTTTTGAGATAAGGTCTTGCTAACATTTTTGCTCCTTATTACTTTGAGCCACAATCCTCCTGTCTCTGGCTCCAAAGTATCTAGGGTTAAAAGTGTGTGCCATCATGCCTGGCCTGATCTCTGGTCTTTCTGATGCCATGACAAGGAGAAGTCACATTTGTTACATGATTTGAATGCTACCTGAGAAGAGAGCGTGCTAACTTCTCATGGGACATAAAAACTTCACCAAAGGCTAACATATCTTGTTTCATAGATGGTGTAATGAGTTTTTCACAACCAACCTGGAATTATCACTTCTAATGTTCTGCAGTGGAAATGATTATCTGGTACGAATGTAATACTCTCAATAAATTTTTCTGGAGTTGCTAAATTAGTGTGATCTCAGGCAGCTTTTGAAAGGCTATATTTGATTCATGGATAAAACCTGGAATATCTGAAGATTGAGTTTACCACAGGTTGTTCACTGACTCGGTATCTGTCAGCCCACATGTACATTTGCACACTGTTCAAAGTTAAATTTCCTGGCAGATCTTCTCACTGTTCATTTGTCCTTTAACTCATTCAGCATTGCTTAGTTCAGCTATTCAGAAGCCCATTAGTAACCTAAGTTGTAGTCCACATCCATTGCATTTCACCATATTTGAAGATACTATACGTAATGTACTCCTTGACATTCTTTGTTAGTCCCCATCACAGTGTTTCTCATGATGTCTTCTCTGTTGCCCTGAATTCTTCTGCCTTTTCTGCTCCTTAACATAACCCAACCAAGTGCTCCATCCTAGGCTCCTTTCTTCTCACTCAGTGGATCTCCCATATGGATCTAACTGACTGTGGTTCACACTTCCTTACATACAGCACCACAGCCATCCTGCCAATGTTCCAACTCTCAAAAGTGGGATTTTTCCTGGACTCCTCCCTCTGTGTTAGGTCTAAGCTCATCTGGTATCAACTTGTGCAACTTTTTGTTTATTCTTTTCGTTTTGTCCTACTGTCAGCCCAGTGCATGTAGGGAGAGGATCTGATCATGCTCATGAATAAACATGGTTAACTGGAGATGTCGTTCCTAGCAAAACTGGAAGAGTGTATTTGCACAGAATAGTGCCTCTAAACAGCACATGCGGTGACATTCTCTGGAGTCCCCTACAAGAGAGCATTCAGGAGTTAGTGGAACACAGTTTAGAAAAGGTCAATGGAAAAACATGCAAAGAATAAAACCAGAAACACAAATTATCATTATTTCTAACTTGTTCATATAAATTTGTCAGAGACTAAATTTATACTTTTTATTAATATACTGCTGTCTTAATTCAATAGGATTTGTCATGTTTACAAACTCCTTTAAATACTGCATTTATTAAGTTCTCTGCTATTTTACCTAACTATTTAAGAATGAAGAACAAAAAATGGATATTTACACCAGTTATGGCTATGTTTATGGGCTATAACTGTATTTTATAGTTGGTAAAGGATAAAACATGGTAACCTCATTAGCTGAACATTTAAATTCACAATTGATTTTGAGATACAACAAAATTGTGAAATGTGCTTTATCATTCACTTATTTTGAGCCTAAAATTAAATCTAAGCCTCCAAACTCCATGTTTCAATCTAAATCTAAGGTACTTGTTAAAGTTGCTAGTGACTTTTAAGGTGTTCCAACTAGAAAACTTACTGGCTTAAATAGAACTTATTATTACCTGTCACAATCTTGGTGCCAGAGAGCTTTGGATCTTATCTCCCCTGTAGATCTTCACATTAACCCTGCATGCCCTTGACTCCTACATCATAGTGGTCTTTATCAACTTGTCCACACACACCCAGCACACAGTGAGGACAGTGACATGAATGTGTTGGGTTTGGGTCTACAGGAGGCACCCTACCCACACTGATCTGAGTTCAAGCACCTGAGCAAATTTTTTGATTACCTAGTTCTAGTCCCTGGGAAAGACGCTCATGCCTCTTCATTCTGCTCTGTGGGATCTTGCCATTCTCTGAGTTGATGTTATGTTTCCTTAAGAAAAACCTCAGTTTGCAGTTGATGAGCTTTCTCCACCTATGGCTTACTTACATTAAATTGAGTATTCAGTGTCCCCCTTTTCATTTCATGTGTGTGTGTGTATGTATTGATCTCAGGGCCTCAATGCTAAGCATATACTCTACTACTGAGCTTCACCTCTAGTTGTCCCTACTTTTCATTTTTTCTGACACTTGTCTCCTTGGATACAGGCAATGACACAGTGTAATCACTTTTTTTTTTTAAGAGTATGCTTACTTTGTACCAAAATCCATTAGACAGAAGCTATCCCCTCCTCACCTCATACAAACTCTTTGTGACCGGTCCTGTTCACTGGCCTTCCCTTCTCTAAGGCAAACTTGGAATGTCAAATGGTCTTTAATTCATTGCTGTCCTCTGATTTTTCTTAGAGGCAGAGAGAGGTGGTCTGGTAGTCCCCACCTTCTTCCCAGGTGTCTCCATAGGCAGATCCTGACAAGGTGAACCTTCCTCTCAGGTTTCCATGCTGTGAGAGGTAGAAGTTTTGCTGACTATTCTCCAGTCTGTGATCCACAAAACTTTTTCTGTAGGTTTCAGTGACACATGTATCCTTACCAAGAGTTCTGACTCACTTCTAGCTTGCATTAGGAGTCCTGCAGGCCACACCTCTGCTTGTTTCCCCAGCAGTGTGGCACATTATAGCTTTTTATTACAGCAACACTCCTGAATTCCAGATTTTAGTTATCCCATCTGTGTACAAGATCTACTCACATGGGTGCTTGAGCAAAATGTCTAATCCTGGCTACTCAGGAGGCAGCGATCAGGAGGATGAAGGTTTGAAAACCATCCCTAGCAAATAGTTCCTGACATCCTATCTTGACAACAACTGATTACAAAAAAAAAAAAAAAAAACCCCACTGGTGGAGTGGCTCACAGGACTAGTAAGAGTGTCTGCCCAGCAAGCATGAGGCCCTGAGTTCAAATGTTACTGCCTTCAAAAAAGAAAAATAATCAGCTCAAATTGTGGTGACTAGAAACAGTTATTGCCTTGACTCCATGATTTAGGGAGACTCTGGTGCCTAGCTCATTTCAGGTACAGATGCAGTGAAGAAAAAACTGGGGAGGATCATCTGAAAACCCAATGGTTGCTTGGTGTTGGAGGAGACTCACTGTGGGCTGGCACTGTGCTGCTGGGGCTTGCTGGGGCTGTCTACGAGCACACCTACTTCCATGTGGTTCTGTACCAAAGAGGTCACAGGGTAGTTGGATGTACTACCTAGTGACTGGCTTTCTCCAAAATTAGTCTTCCATGAGAGACTAGTGAAGCTGCATGACTTCTTGCAGCCTTACCTCTGAAGTCCCCAAATGCCACCTTTGCTGGGTGGCCAGCCAAATCACTGAGGCTGGGCAAGGTTCGAGGCTCACATTTCCAACACAGAAGAACTGAAGAGGACTTGTGGTCCCTATAATCTTCCAGAAAGCCATTGGTAACAGTGTGTACATTTGCCACAAATACATTGTCATTTCCCTTGTGAACATTTCTTTGAATCTACTATTCCAAAGTATAATATTTGATTTTCAAATATTGATGCTTTCTGGATTTTTTTTTTCCCAGTGGTACTGGGATTTGAACTGAGGGCCTCATACTTGCCAGGCACTCGAGCCATTCCACAAGCATTTTTTGGTTTTGGTGTTAGGGTAATGCTGTCATTGGAGAATAAATTAGTAAGTACTTGTGATTCTATCTTCTAGAAGAGATTATAGGGAATTGATAGAAGTTGTTTTGTAATGCATGGTTGAATTTACCAAAGTATAATGTCATTATACTTTCTGTTTTTGAAAGATTATTCATTGCTTTTTGAATTCCTTCTTTTTTTTGAGAAGTGGTGCTAGGGTTTGATCTCAGGGCCTTGTTCTTGCCAGGCAAGCACTCTACCCCTTGAGCCACCCTCGTAGCCCTCAATTTAGTAGAAATATGTTCACACTGTGTATTTCTAACTTCTGAATTTGCATATATTGTGTCTTTTGTGAAATTGTTCCACTTTACCTCTCCTGTCGAGTATGTGGTCATAGATTTGTTCATAGTATTCCGTGTTATTCTTTTAATGTTCATAGAAAAAGTAGTTGACCCCCTTTCTTCATTTCTGTGTTCTGTACTGTGTGTCCTTTGTCCATTATTTTTTCATACCTGTCTATATGCTTAAGGGTTTTATTGAGTTTTTTTTTGGTGGTACTTGTGTTTAAACTCAGGGCCCTGTGTTTATTAAGCAGGTGGTCTGCCACTTGAATCATGCCTCCAAGCCATTTTTGCTATAGGGAGTTTTCCCATAGGGTCTTGTGGTTTTTGCTGGGCTGTCCTCAGACTGCAGTCCTCCTACCTACAGCCTTACAAGTAGCTGGGAGCATGCCACCACCCCAGCTTGATCTCAAACTGTGGTCCTGTCCATCTCTGTCTCCTGAGTAGTTGGAATTAAGGGCATGAGGCACAATAACTAGGAATTTTATTGATGGTTTCTCTTTTTTCAGCCAGTATGCTTTTTTTTCTTCCTTTTTAAAAATTGTTGTTCTGGGTTGGGGTACATTTACAGAAGTTCTTACAATGTATCATATATATAATATTTGAGTTCACCCCCTCCATCATTCTCCTTTTTCTCCTTCCTCCCATTACTGGAACAGTTTCAGTAGGTCTCATTTCATTTTTCAATTTACGTACATGAGTACACAGTATTTGCAATATATTCAACCTTGCACACCTTTTCCCCTCCTCCCACTGGGACCCCTCCCCCACAGGCAGGACCTGTTCCTCCCTGTGCTTCTCTGATTTTGTAAATGAAAAGAATTATCATTTTTGTTTAAGGTAGCTACATGGGGAGTATCCTTGTGACATTTCCTATGTATATATTTATTATAACCTGAATTGTTTCATCTTCTCTATTTTTTATTGATGTTTTCAAGGAACATTTTTTTCCCATTACTGATTTTCTTAGTTGAGTTTCTGTTTTAATTTCACTGATTTCACTTATAATTCTCCTTTTGCTGGTTTTAAATTTTACTTTCCCCCCTCTAGTTTCCTAAGGTAGGAATTTAGATTACTTATTCTAAACCCTTGTTTTTGTCTATTATACATATTCCTGCCATCCATTGTCTTATAAGCACTGGTTTGTATGCATCCTACATATTTTCATAAAATATGCTTTTGTTTTCATTTAGTTCAAAATTAAAAAGTTACTCTTGAGAGTTCTTTTTTACAATCTGTAAGTATATTGTTTAATCTCCACATATTTGGAATTTTTCAGTTATCTTTTTGTTATTTGTTCCACTCTGGTCTGAAAGCAGACTTTGTCTGCTGTCTAGTCTTTTAAATCCAGTGTGTGTTTTATGGCTGACAAGGTAGCCTGTGTTGGTGGTTGTCCACATGTACTTTGAAGGACGTGTAATCTGTTGCTGGAAGCGATGATCTATTGATGCCAATTACATGCACTGGAACTCAACTGTTGTTGAGTTGCGCTGTGTCATTACTGATTATATGCCTGGTGGGTCTGTCCACTTTGAAGAGTGGATTGTTGAAGTCTTCACTTGTGCTTATGGGTTCATCTTTTTCTTGAACTTCCAGCAGTGTTGCATTCACATAGTTTCAGAATCTTTTGTTAGATGTATACAAGTTCAGAATTGTTACATGTTGCAGAACTGATCACTGTATTTTTACCCAGTGCCCCTTTTCTTGGTCACTTTCCAAGCTTGTGCTCTACAACTCAGCTATGTCACCAGCCCCTGATTTCCTTTGATTAGTATTTTCTCCATTTACTTTTTAAAATTAACATTTAGTTAGTATATATTAATTTTACAAAGGTGTTTCATTGTGATTTTTATATACATATGTGCATGTAATGTACTTTGTTCACATTCACCCCAACTCCACCATTTTTTCATTTATTTATTTATTTTTGAAGCAAGATCCCTCTTTATCTCATACTGTCATTATCAGCCCTGTGTAGCTCAGACTGGCCTAAAACTCTTGATCCGTCCAGTCTCTACCCGCTCTGTGCTTAGATTCCAGGTGTATACCAGCATGCCTGGCCCAGGGTGGTATTTGAAAAAGAACCTTCTCAATGTCTGTGTGAACCATAGAAATAATTTGTCTCCATAGAATATGAATATAATTAATTATGTTAGTGGAGCTCCTTTTTCCATTTTTGTTTCTGAGACAGAGTCTCACTATATAGCCCAGGCTGTCCTTGAACTCATGATCCTCCTGCCTTAGCTCCCTGAGTCTTGGGATTACAAGCATGCACCACCATGAAGCCTCAGAGTTCTTAACATTGACCTTTTCTTTATTTTTGGGACAAACTCAGAAAATTCTTTCTTGGTCATTATAGTCTATTTCTTGTCCTTGATTAGGAAATAGTAGTTTCCTTATGTTCTTTTCTTGTTACTTTCCTTCTCTGAAGACCATCCATTTCACTCACTATAATAATAACTTTAGGCAGCACTAAAATTCTGTTTTTTACCTTTTTTTTTTTTTTTTAAATCTTGAGCTTCCATCTCTCTCCTGAGCTCTGGAATCATGTATATATGTGGTTGTTGGCCATCCCATACATGTGGTATCAGATATTCCAAATGTGGTATATTCAAGTCTGGGTCACTTTGTTGAATTCTTTTTTGGCAGTGCTGGAGTTTGAACTCTGGGCTGGCAGGTGCTCTACCATTTTGGTACTCAGCCAGCCCTTTTTTTAATACTAGGTATTTTCATTTCTTTCTTTTTGTTGTTGTTTTCTTGTGTGTATGTGTGCATTGGGTATTTTTGAAATAGGGTCTCATGAACTCTTTGGGATGGCTTAAAACCTGGATCCTGCTGATCTCTGCCTCCAGAGTAACTAGGTTTACAGGTGTGAGCCAGTCGCATCAGGCCTGCTGTTTTATTCTTCTTCTATTTCCCAAATTTCACATTACGATGCCAGTATTTAAGTAGCAGCAATCATGCAGGTCATGTGGAAGTAAAGTATCTTTTTATCTTTGTTCAACAAATTCTTAACCAAATTCTGTTCCTGCCCTTGTTTTCTTTATCTCCCTAAGGTTACCTCACTGTTCCGCAGTCTGTCTTCTGTATCACCTGATGTCTCACTGTGGTTTCTTACCCTTCAATTTCCCTTAAACCTTTCCAATTCTCTTCCCAGGGATAACTGTTGGAATGTAGATCTGCTGTTTGCTCACCTGTTCTCACCTGACCTCATGTTTTACACCCGTTGTTTGGGAAATGGCTGAGATGCCTGGAGTGAACACAAACAATCTTTTGGAGGTAGGAAGGAGATGTTGTGATGCTTGCATGTATACTTTTAGTTTATGTCATTAGAAAACAACAAACACATAAAATGTGACAGATTATTTATGTATACAGAATGCATAATTAGTGCCCTTAATATTGTGTTTATTTTCATCGTGTTCCAATGTCATTAAGCTAAATATGAAACTTATGTGTAGTTCCAATAATATGGTAGGTGTTGTTTGTGGGATTGTGACTGGACTTCTGCTATTGCCTCAGCCTTGAGAACATGTTTTTAGCAAATGGAAGGGCTAAACATTCTAGACTTTTCAGTGAAGTGCAGCCTCATCATGCAAAATAGAAGTATATGGTCTCCTTCCTTGACCCATATATATTGAAGCTGTAAATGAATTCATCTAACAGATTCTGGGTTTTTATTTATATTTAATGGTTTCTTCATATCAGATCATAAGCATCTTAAAGGAGCAAAATTTTGTTCATGGCTTTTTGTTTTGTTTTGTTTTGTTTTGTTTATTAATAGAATTGAACTTGCTGTGTAGCCCAGGTTTGCCTTGAACTCAGAGTGCTCCTGTCTCATCCTCTTCAGTGGTGCGATTACAGCCATGTACCACCAGGCCTGTTTTTATTCATACTTTATTCCTGAGGGATAAGGATGTTTTTAGAAGTGTTAGGTAACTTTGTTATAACATTTTTAATATTATTTACTACTTAATATATTACTACAATGGCAGTACATTTCTGCGACTAAGTTGGTGTCCTTTGAGGATGTGGCTGTGAACTTTACCTGGGAGGAGTGGCAAGACCTGAATGAGGCTCAGAGGACCCTGTACAGGGAGGTAATGCTGGAGACCTACAGCAGCCTGGTGTCCCTGGGTGAGTGAAATGCCCTGTAGCCCTCAGGAGCAAGTGCTGACTTAGTAAATATATGAAAACTATTTAGTTGCACAGTTCCAGCCCATGAAGAACTCACTTCTTTACCCTCCCTTATGAAAAGTTCACATGTGCCCTTTCATTGCACCATTACAAAGCTGGGTTTGTCCAGTTTTAAAGAACCTAATTTATAATGGAGGGGATAAACCAATTCAGGGTATAATACATGTATGTATTTTAAGGAAATGTCACAGTGAAATTCCCTGTGTAGCCCTCATAAACAAACAAAATTAAAAAAAATAAAGGGAAGATAGGTAAAAAGAAGTCCAGGGTTTGGAATAACATAAGAAAGGAGGGTGAATATGGTAAAAGTATTATATATTTGTGCATGAAAAGGAGACAGTGAGACCTATTGCATCTCTTCTAAGAATGGCGGGAGGTAGGATAAAGGAGAATGATGGAAAGTTTGAATCTAACTAACTATAATGTATGTAAGCACTTTGTAAATGTCACATTGTACCCCCCCGTACAACTATATCAGGATAATATATCAATAAAAGAAACAAGAAAAAGAAATTAACTAAAATTTTAAATGTACCCCCACAGTCATTCTAGTCCGAGTTCATGTGTTTGTAACCACTGTGGCTAGCAGCTTCCATGCTGGCACCACCAGTCCAGAACATGTCCATCATTTCAGAAAGGGATATTGACAGAAAAGTCCTGACTTAATCATTTGACAAAATTCTACATTGTTTTCCATGAACAGGGCAATGCATCACCAAACCCAAGCTGATCTTCAAGCTGGAGCAAGGAGCAGAGACATGCATGGAAGACTGCCAAAATCAGAGCCCTTTAGGTCAGCAAGTGCATTCTGGGTGCGGAGGCCATGCAAAGGGAGCCCAGCCGATGCTGGCCATGTTGTGCTGACTTCACCAGATTATCTTGCAGATTGCAGACCTGAGGACAGTGGGCTTGCACACATCAAACCTGTGCATTACAGTGTCCAGGGAAGGCTCTCACACTTATATTGTTATCTTTATTCCAAGTCTAAACCCTGTTCTTCCTATTTTTCTTTGCTTGTTTACTTTCTCGGTGTTCTCAGTTGCCTCACTCTCCTTCCTCATGGAATTTAAAAAATTTATTTACTTTTAGTTAACTATTTTTTTGTGGGAGTGGGGTTTGAATTCAGGGCTTCAGTATTCCAAAGCAGGAAGTCACTTGCAAAGCAGGCACTCTACCAATAGAGCCACACCTCCAGTCCATTTTGCTATAGTTATTTTGGAAGTGGAATCCTGTGAAATATTTCCCTTGAGCTGGCTTCAAACCAATATCTTCCTGATCTCACCCTCCTACATGGGCAGAATTATAGGTGTGAACCTCTGGCATCTGGTTCAAAAAATTTTTTTTTGAGACAGACTCCTGACACATATCCTGGCTGGCCTTGTAGTCTCAATCTTCCTGCTTCTGCCTCCTTAGGAATGGGTGCCTGCCACCATACTTGTCTTCTCATGGACTTGTATTGTCTGATATTTATTCATAAATTATTTATGCTTCATCACATACTGAAGCTGATTTTAAGCTTTGGAGATTTCATAGTTATAATGATGAAAGAAATTATCAAAATGATGTCTCTTTCATTGAATTTATAGTGTGCTGAGAGAAAAAAAAAAGTAATGTTTTTTAAGTAGTCAAATAAGAACCAGAGCAATATTATATCAACATGAGAAAAACAATGTGATCATTTAGGAAGGATGGTTAGAGAAGACAGTCTTAGGTGGGGTTGGTTCGTTTAAATTTGCTGTGCTAGAGATTGAACCCAGAGCCTCAAGGGTGCTGGTCAAGTATTGTACCACTGGGCTACATTTGTAGTGGGATTATTAAGTGTTCATTTTGACATAGCTTGAGTTTTAGTTCCTGTTTTCAAAATTTTTACACATAATAGGTGAATATGAAGATCTACGTTTGAAAATCTACATCACTATTGGAAGCACAAATTTGGAAATTAGTAGCTTGAAGCTGTTATTTAAACTTACAGAGCAGTTCACATAGGGAGTGGATAATAAAATGAGAAAAATCAAGAGTTAGCCTGGTGAACCATGGTGTCAGACACCATGAAAATGGAGAATCCATCATATTGGTCTGTATTTGGGGAAGAGCCAGGACATTCTTGATCCCAAGCCCGAGTGAACAAAGGGTTTCGTGTTCAAGAGCACAGATCTCTGTTTGGGAGTAAGTCCCATCTTCTCTTAGTGAATTTCATTACAAACAAGAAAGAAATGTTCAGAAGACTTTATTTTCTATGAAAGTAGGAGAAAGCTGACAAACCAGTGCACAAGATAACATCATTTGGGAGAAGTAGATTATCAAGCAAGGGTGCCTGTACCTGGAATTGACAATTCCAGGTCTGTTGATCTCAGAATGAGCCAGAAAAGCACTTTATAAAGATGGTGGGTTTCAAAGGTGGGTGTCCAGGGTGATACGGTGAAGAAAAAAACTTGTAATTCTGAGAAACAGAGTAAGTGAGGTTAAATTAGGACTTTGTAGGAAACTGTTTTCATCTAGAATGATAAAGAATATATATTTTTTGGAACAATTCCCTAGATTTGTATGGTTATTTCCTAGGTAAGAATGAAAGCTAAACAAATATAGATGCAAACTGCTGTCCCAAAGCCATGTTCCTGTTCAGGTGGCAGTCACTTGGACCTCACTTGTATTATTTAAGTTGCTGGCCTGAAAATTCTTGCAAATTTGTATGTAGAATAATGAGAAGAACAGAAGTAGGAGACCCCAGCATTGTCAAAACAATAGATTCAAAGAATGGGGGAAAGATGACAGGGGAGAAGCATACCATGGAAAACATGATAGATTGTAGGTGAATATTTTAATCAAGTACTTCCTCATGGAAATAAAATTAAAGACGTAAGAAAAAAACAGTTCAACAATATAAAATTTTTCAGTGTTATTTATTATTTGAAGTCAGAAGGAAGAAAATTATTTACTTATAAGCCAATACCTATTGTAATCTTACGCCAATAGGAGGGGAAGAACATCCTTTGTATACACATGCACATTTCATAGAAATGTTAGTTGTATTACATGCATATGGTTATTTTCTTTTTCTCATTTCAGATGTCCAGAAGGTTGATGTAATTGAGACCAGTGAGGAAAGACAAGACAGACATTTGCGGCAAGGTGGAATCACTAGGAATGACATGTTAACTAAGGAAAGAGTCACAATAGGACATGCCTTTTGTTTCAGTTCCAACCATATTTCAAATTTGATTGTAAAGAATACAAGCTCTTTAGGAGTGAAGTTTGAGAATTTGAATGTATGTCAGAACACGCATCTCCATAGTAGGCCTGAGAGGATGTATGCTAGTGAGAGACCCTATCAGTGTAATCAGTATAGAAAATACTTTGTCCAGAAGTCCCACCTCACCAAGAATGAGGTGACTCACACTGGGAAGAAGCCCTATAAGTGCAATCAATGTGGAAAAACCTTTGGCTGGAAATCAAGACTCACCCAACATAAGAGAATTCACACTGGAGAGAAGCCATATATGTGTTGTCAGTGTGGTAAAACCTTTCGCCGGAAGTCATACCTGACCATGCATGAGATGATTCACACTGAGAAGCCCTATCAGTGTAATCAGTGTGGTAAAATCTTTGGCTGGAAGTCACTCCTCAACTATCATGAGATGATTCACAATGAGGAGAAGCCCCATAAGTGTAGTCAGTGTCATAAAAGCTTTGTCTGGAAATCACAACTCACTATGCACAAGATGATTCACACTGGGGAGAAACCCTATCAGTGTAGTCAGTGTGGAAAATCCTTTCACTTTAAGTCAACCCTCAATAGACATGAGATAATTCACACAGGGGAGAAGCCCTATCAGTGTAATCAGTGTGGAAAAACCTTTGGCCAGAAGTCGCAACTTGCTGACCATGCAATAATGCACACTGGGGAGAAGCCCTATCATTGTAATCAATGTGGAAAATCCTTTGGCTGGAAGTCAGAGCTCACCAAGCATGAGAGAATTCACACTGGGGAGAAGCCCTATAAGTGTAATATATGTGGAAAAACCTTTGGCTGGAAGTCACAACTCACCTATCATGAAATAATTCACACTGGGAACAAGCCCTATCAGTGTAATCATTGTGGAAAAATTTTTTGCTGGAAGTCACACCTCACCCAGCATGAGAGAATTCACACTGGAGACAAGCCCTATCAGTGTAGTCAGTGTGCAAAATCTTATCGCCAGAAGTCAAGCCTCACTATACATGAAATAATTCACACTGGGGAAAAGCACTATCAGTGTAAACAGTGTGGAAAAAACTTTGGCCGGAAATCACACCTCACTAAGCATGAAAGAATTCATACTGGGGAGAAGCCCTATAAGTGTAATCAGTGTGGAAAAACCTTTGGCCGGAAGTCAAACCTCAGCAGGCATCAGACCACTCACAAGAGAGGAGTCTTTTGATGGCAGAAGAGCTTTCTCAGATTTCAAACCTCAGAAAACATCAGAGAATTCACATGATGGGAAATTCTTGTATGGCAGAGACTATGTGTCCCCCAAAAGCCATTTTCTTTTTTCTGATATATCATGTGCTTTTTTCTGCCTCCACTTATTATGGCAAAAAGTTCACAAGTCTGTGGAGATTCAGACACAAGTGATGAAAATTAACTTCCTAGCCTGTAATGTAACAATAACTTTACTGTCCTCCCAGATTCAGGATGGGAGCCATGGGTGTCTTCAGTCACTGTGATTTAAGACAGAAATGAAGCATGAGATAATTCATACTGGGGAGAAGCTCTATTAGTGTGATCAATGTGGAAAAACCTTTGACTGGAAGTCACACTCAGGAAGCATCAGACCACTCACAAGAGAGGAGCCGTTGAAGGTGGAAGAGCGTTTTTAGAAATTAAACCTCAGGAAATACCAGAGAATTTACATGTTGGAAAAATCCTCCCAGACTTGGAATGGGAGCCATAGGTGTCTTAAATCATCATGGTTTAAGACAGAATTGAAGAGAGCAGAGGACTTTCCATACTGGCCCAATGACCCATATTTGTTACATGTGAGAGAAAATACCTATTATGTTGAACCATTTTATGTGTGGTCTGTGCATTTCAGCACCCATAGTCACTGTTGCTTACTCATTTTATGAGTTTGGAAGTATTCCTGAGAGACTCACCCAGTTCATGATTATCAGATAATTCATACAGAAGAGAAACCTGTTTTGTCATCTTTCATCTCCAAATCAGGTTTTAGGAGAATGAAAGAAATGTGAGGGCCCAGGAGCAGTTCCACGTGACTATAATCCCAACTATTTGAGAGGTGGAGTTTGGAGGATTGTGGTTTGAGGCCATCCTGGAAAAAGAGTTCTCAAGACCTCATCTCATCTAGTAAGCCAGGTGTCAACACAGATGTATACAGCTGTAACTCTAGCTCTGATTGGTATAGACAGGATTGTGTTCCAGATTGCTCTAGACAAAAACTGAAACCTATGTGAAAAATAACTTAAAAACAAAGGCTTGAAATATGACTCAAGTGGTAAATGAATGCCTTGCAAGCTTGAGGTCCTGACTTTAAACCTTGGTACCACCACCATCCCTCCCCCCAAAGTGGAGAAATGCTGAAATAAATTTGGAAATGTCTTTATCAGGGAGGGCTATCTTGCTGAACACTGACAGTAAAGTAATTCTATATTTGTAATGCATTCAACCTTTGTATAAAGCCATCTTTGTGCCACAGGTGTGGCTGAAGTGGTAGAGCACATGCCTTGCAAATTAATGTGAAAGAGAGTGTGAATTCATACTCCACTATCACCAAATTTTTATTTGTTAGTATCAGAGAATTTGTAATGACAGGAAAAGTATCTGTGGTCTGTAATACTGATGTAGCTTTTCAAATACAAATTTTAGTTATAGTCTCAAAAATATAAAACATTTGATTATATACCACTAATGAGATGTGAGTGGTGCTATTGCCTGCCAAGGTACATTTACTGTGTTTGGAGACATTTTTGTTGTCACGACTGGAGGTTGGGAGGTAGTGATGACATCTAGACCCCAGGGTTCAGAGGAGGGATTACAGCATACAGAACACAGACCAGCCCCTCTGCTTACGAGTATTTTATGACAAGAATTTTCTTTAACAGGGCCCAGAACCACCAAGGGAACCAAATAGAATATTGTGATTGAGGTTCTTGTGCACTCCATTTCTGTCAAGACTATTTTATGAAAATAGGTTTAATTTCATGTTAGTCACTTTCCATTTTCTGTGACAAAATGTCTGAGAAAACAACAGGGGAAGAATGATTTGGCTCATGGCGGCAGTCCTTGGCTCTGTTGCTTCTGGCCCCATGGTGAGGCATAGCATTCTGGCAGGGAGCCTGTAATGAGCCTGACAGCTCTCAGGTAGACAGAACCCTCACCCTCACAGGCACACTCACCAGGGTGCTTCACTAGTCCAGTTGCTTCTCATGCCGATCATTTGACAAGCTTTGCTATCATGACTTTTCTCACAGTTTTGGAGACTGAAATTCCAATATGAGGTGGTCCCTTAATTTCAGCCTCCTGGTTTGGCTGTGTCCATGCCAAATGTATGGCTTTTTCATGACCCGTTCTTGTGGGAATTGTAAGATTATCACTGATTCACTTTGGGGCACTGTTTTCCAGTCCTAAGAGCCTCCACTAGGCCACACCTTTTAAAAGTTCACCACACTGAGATTCTGGGTTCCATGTAGCTCAGGAGTCTTTGATGGAACACAGCATACCAAAACTGTCATATTAGGACTTTTATCATTAAATGTCACTCTAGCTTTATATATTGTTAGGTATATTAAGTAGAAAATGTTGTCTTAAAAGCTTTTCTGTTAATGTATATCAATATATATTGCCATTATTACCATTTTTTTATCCTTGAGACAGGTCTGAGGTCCAAGTTGGCCTCAAATCTCCTGCCTCAGCCTCCCAAGTCCTGGGATTACAGGCGTATGCCACTGTACCTACCTCCAAATTTTTAAGAAGATTATATTCACCTAGATTCGGCAGCTAATACAGTGCCATTTGTGGGTCTAAAAGGAACATTTTCATTGACTCAAACAAGACAGCCACAGCTTAAGCTTGAGTCATCTCACACACCTGTGATCAGTGCCACTGGTTTCGTTCTATTCAGTGAACAACAATGTCTAGAAGTGAATTTCCCCCTCGGTTCCTGTTACCCATCCTCAATGGAGTAGCAGCATAGCTGTGCATGTGTGTGCTGAGTGCTGTGCTTCTGAGCAGCCTCTGCATTTTCAGTGATGGGGTGGTGGGCACAACCCCACTAAGAAAGGCCACACACTAAATTCTGGCTACACCACCTAAGCTAAGACTTCTCTCCTTCCCCTTGCTAGGCTTCTGTTTCTTCATGTTCAAAATGGAAATAAAAATGGAATCTGCATCAAAGAGTCAGTAAATTAGGTCAGTTCTTCCAATATTCCCTGGCACTTGATAAATAGCATACAGTCTAGCCATGATGGTTACAGTAATTCTCATCACATATAAAATTACTATATTAAAGTGATAGCAGTCTTAGGCTGTCCCTCTACCACTTGAGCCATACCCCTAGCCCCTGCAGTCTGTAACAGATGTGTTGGGCTTCAAAACAGCCATCTTCAATTGTTTGACCAACTTTTTTGTTGTTGCAGTACTGGAATTTGAAATCATGACCTCATGCTTGCTAGCCAGATCATCTACTACATGAGCCATTCCCTTAGCTTTACTCATTTTTAAGGTAGGGTCTCAAGTTTTTGCCCAGAACTGGCCTCCCATTGCTATTCTTTTATGTGGCTCATGTAGCTGGGATCAAAGGTGCCTCCACCATACCAGGCTTATTAATTGAGATGGACTTGCTCTTTTCCCTGGGCTGGCCTCAAACCTCAATCTTGATCTCTGTTTTCTGAGTAGCTGCAATTATAGGTGTAAACCACCATCCCTGGCTTGACAACATCTTGATTTGGTTATGTTATCCACTTCTACACAGCGATTCAGGGATTTATTTTGGTTCCTCTTTTTATGATTAACTTGAGTAATACTTTCTTTAGGAATCCTTTTATTCTCAGTCCATGTCCCCACTGTTCAGGGATATAACAGGATTCAGAGACATGTCTGAGAATATACTCACAAAGTAAAACTGTAGCTATGGAACACGTGTTGGAAGACATGGCTATTTTTTGACATTCTTGTGGTTGCATATGTGGCCTCATTTGGGTCTGAGAGTGCCTAGGCAGAGGGCTATACACCCAACATGAATTATGTGAAGGCAACTGAAGGAGCCCACTTGCAGTTGCTTTGTTTTAGGATATTTAACTGGGTATCGGATTTGTCCTGCTTCAATAGAAACAGCCAGTATTAGCTAAAAATGACGGAATTACTATCTGTGTCTGTGAGGCAGAGTCTGAAGATGACTTGGGCAGGTCCTCTGCAGCAGATCTCAGAAGTGTGCAATCAAGGTGTCAGCTGGGCTGCATTCCACCTGGAGACTAACCTAAGGGCACTACTTCCAAACTCATTTGGGTTTTGGCACAAATTTTTTCCTCAGTGACATAGTCCAAGGGCTTTCTTACTGGTTTTGACTAGAGGCTACTCACGGTTCCTTTTTTGTAGACAAAGCACATGGACTGCTTGCTTCCTCATGACCCATGGAGCAGGGTTTCACTCCAGTGTGCTAGGATCAGCTTGGACTTCATGTCATCATGTGAGTCACATTGCTGCATGTTTCTCATATTGTTTGTGAGAGCCATATATCAGGTCCCCTCCACATTCTGGAACAGAGGATTTATTTGAGGGCGTGATTCTTTAGAGTTCACATTAGCACATGTGGAGAATAGTTCCTTGTCTTTAGAACAGTGAAGTTGTGTTTTCTTCTTTCTTAAAATCTTCATGTTAAGTTAATTTTATAACATTTATTCACTTTGGAAGCATTGCAGATTGCACTTCCAGGGAAGAAATGCTACCTTTCAGAATATGTTCAAGGATGGCTATTAAATCATTGAGGACCACTCCAAGGACCAAATATTCAATTGTTTGAAAGAAATGTGTTTGTATATTGTTTGTACACTATTGATTTTGTTTGTTTTTGGTACTTGGGTTTGAACCCATCATAAAAAAGGGGGCTGGCATAGTGCCTCAAGGTGTACACCCTGAATTTAAACCCCAGTGTTGCATAAAAGTACAAAAAAGTCCACTGACATCTCTGTGTGGTGTTGCTTGACAAAATCTGGTGTGAGTTGAGTACCTGCCTGTCTTCCAATCTTTATTCCCTGTACTACTTCTTATGGTCTAATTTACTCCTCACCTTGTCTGGTTTGCTGCTTAGACTGCCATAATAAAATACCACAGTTCTGTGGTCCCCCAAGATTTTGTGTGTTGAAATTTAATCATCTTTGTAAGTTATCAAGATAGAAATTTAGCCTAACTATAGTG